AGGCTCTGTGGCCTGTAGTCACTCCCTCTACTTGTGGAGGGGCTAGGGGCTTTGTCCTATGTGACTGAAGGACAAAAATCTATGGAGGTCTGTGGCCTTGTGTCAGGAGCCTAGAGTCTAGGAGCATGGCAAGAGCCTACCATCCCTTGCAGGGAACCGTGCAGTGTCTCCTTCTGTGTCACTGTGGTGGGTTTCAACTGTAGGTCAAGCAGAAATCAGACTTTCTTTCACAGTCCTACACTGAAGATTGCAGCCAACCATTGGACTGAGCATGGGGAACCCAATGGAAGAGTTAGGAGAAGAACTAAAAGAGCAGCCCTATATGAAGAACAATAACATCAACCAACCAGAACCCCTGAGCATCCAGGCACTAAATCACCAACCAAAGAATACACATAGAGGGCATCATGGCTCCCGCTGTATATATATAGCAGAGGCTGGCCTTATCCAATATAAATGGTAGGAGAGGTCCTTGATCCTGTGAATGCACAATGGGCCAGTGTAGGGGAATGCTAGTGTGGTGAGGGAAGAGTAGGAGTGTGCATGGTTGAGCTTCTCATAGAAGCAGAGGACAGGGAAAATGGTATACGGGATGCTCATTGGGAGAATCTGGAAGGGGAATAATATTTGAAAAATAAATAAATAAAATAACCAGTAATAAAAAGAAAAAAATAAGTGAATCTTATCGCTTTCCTTTCTTGTCCATGGACAAGAATAGAGAATAGAATGTCCTTTGAATTCTATTGTCTAAGAACTTAACTGTTAGTTCCAAGCATCAAGATCCAAGGTATGGTATCATAAATATATGGGTTAAGTGAAAATTTTATAAAGGCAAGGTGGGGTGATTATGAAGGTGATTGAGGAATGAGTCAAAAACAACCACAGGATAGCCAATGAGTTATTTATAAAGTGAAAGGTATAACCTTATCTTTCCTTGTGATGGATCAACACAGAACTTGAGACTGCAAACCAGAGCCCCAATCTCAGGCCACCTGTTTCAGGATTCCTAGAAGGATCCTCTCCCAACCAAGGGTATACTCTTCGACATGGCATACCCTAGCAAGGAGACCAGAAACAGACTGATTCCCTCAGCCTGGAAAGCCAGCAAAGCTAGTCTTCACAGGGAATTCAATAGCTTCATTGTCACATTCCTCATCAAAACCACCAAGGAACAACCCCACATGGAGACAAGCAACAGACAGGAACCCCGTATTCTGGAAACCATCAAGACTCACCCGAGGCCCTCAGTAGAACTGGCCACCTCAGCCTAGAAACCAGCAACTCTCATTGCTATCTATCCAAGGAAGGTTACCACAGAGAACTTACCTGGGCCAGGATCCTCAGTAACAAGAATGCATTGTCGGGTGAGATTTGAATTTATTCTTCTTGAAACATCAACTCCAGTAGTTTTGAAAGCAAAGTATGTACTTACTCAGCCTTAAACAAATTGATATTACATAGTTTGGGGTCTTAATACTATTTGGATATTCTGTAGTGGAATAGGAAGATTTATAATTTGTATACTACTCAAGGTATTGTGAATGTGAGGAACAATATCTACCTATGTTTCACATCATTATTGTTGTTTGATTGTTCAAAAATAGCAATGTTCTTCCTAAATTCTAGGACTCCCTTACTCAGGCCAGCAGCTGCACCCTTTATAGTTTGAACCTCCTGTGTCTCTGGTATACGAGACCATAATGCTTTGCTGTTAAATGTTACTTGCATTTTTGGTATGCACTCATCTTAGAATATGCCCCCAAATAAGGGAAAAAACCCAGTGTTATTGGAAAACAAGGTATTAAGTTAAATCCTAAATTCATATATCATCCCCCCTCAACTTCAGACCATATAGCTGCCAAATAAAAAACAGAGAAACCTTTCCATTTATAATAAGTTTAAATGCACTGCTGCTGGGTGGATATCAACATTCTAAGCCATTTTGTCTGTTTCTGTGTTTCTAAATACATAGTCTGTACTCAGCTAAGTACATTTGTGTTCTGTAAACTTCAGAAGAAGGAAATTTGCAATGAAGAAAGTTAGTTATACTTAACCTACTTAACATTGAATCTTTAAAATGAACTTTCTAGGAGGTGTAATCACCATCATTCTCACACTTTACAAGAGATAAAACTAAGGCAAGTATACTTGATGTCTGAGTAAGAGTTTCAGGATGAAGCAAAGCCCAAAACTTGCATTCTTGCTATAGTGTACCATTTTCCACTGCTTGTTATATCTTCAGAAATGCAGAGGGGATTGGAAAATGAGTAACTACAATGAATGTACTTATCAGAGGATGCAATTGGCACACACAAGGTTTTGCTTTTAAAAACAAAAATTATTTTTCAAATTCTGAATTTTTTAATGTAATAAACAAGATAAGACAGACTTTATTTTGGTTTACAATTCTAGAGGGAGAGTTCACCATGGTGGAGTGACAAAGGGGAGACAGAACCTGGAGAGACCATGTGCAGGGTTAGGTAAGGCCCCAAGTTGAGGGATAGGGCCACCACCCATCTAAAATATTTTAACACAGAATTTCTCCTGTCTATATAAAGTAGGCTAACAAAGAGTGGAGCAGAAATGGAAAGAAAAGCCATCCAGGAACTGCCCCTCCACCCACCCAGTGATCCATCCCATATGTAGACACCAAACCCAAACTCTATTGCTGTTGCCAAGAAGTGCTTGCTGGCAGTAGCCTGATACAGCTGACTCTTGAGAGACTCTTTCAGAGCCTGACTAGTACAAATTAGGATGTATGCAGCCAACCATTGGGCTAAGCACAGGGACCCCAATGGAGGATACAAGAGAAGGACTGAAGAGGCTGAACAGGTACGCAATCCCATAGGAAGAAAAATAATATCAAATGACCAGACCACTAAGAGATCCCAGGGACTAAACCACCAACCAAAAAGAACACAGGGCTCCAGCTGCATATGTAGCAGAGGATGGATTTCTCTGTCGTCAATGAAAGGACAAGGTCTTAATCCTGTGAAGGCTTGATTATCCAGTGTAGGGGATTGCTAGGGCTGTGAAGTGGGAGGGAGTGGGAGGGTAGGGGAGTACCCTCATAGAAGCAGGGGGAGGAGGGATGTGATAGAGGGTTTCCAGAGGGGAAACATAGAAAAGGAATAACATTTGAAATTTAAATATATTAAATATCCAATTTTAAAAAGCAACAACACCTCCCTTGAGGAAAAGCCTACTAGAGGTCTTTCTATGAGGCATTTCCTCAATTTCTGATCAAGGCTGGGAGGGCCCATTGTGGCTGGTGCCATCCCTGGGCTGGTAGTTCTGGGTTCTATAGGAAAGCATGCTGAGCAACACAGGGGATGCAAGCAAGTAAGTAACAACCTTTCATGGCTTCTCCATCAGCTCTTGCTTCCTGACTTGCTTGAATTTCAATCCTGACTTCTTTTGATAATGAATAGCGAAGTGTAAGGGTAAGATGAATAAACCCTTTCCTACTAAACTTGCTTGTTGTTCATGATGTTTTGTGTAGGAATAGAAACCATGACTAAGACACAGCACAAGTTAGAAGCAATCTCTGGAAAGCCCTATTATCTACCTTGGGTGGCCTGCAACCACTAAAGATCAGTATACCAATGTCTAGAGTCTACCAGCCTACTGCTTCTCCCAAAGATGCTTTACTATTCTTCCCTTCCGCTGAGGCACTGGAGCCTCAAACCACATACATTCCAACCTCAAAACTCTTGCCTTGGTATGTTACTCATAGCTGCCTGACTTTGCACCCCAAGTTAGACACAAACCACACCCAAACAGTTGTTTTCAGAGAGAGATACTTTATTAAGCGGGGAAGAAAGGTTAAAGTGTTTGCTTTCTATTCAGGTAGAAACACAGCAGTAAAAGACCTAAAGTTGTAATTTTTAAGAAGAGAATGGTGGGGTCTGTGTTAGAATGGGCTAGGATATAGTGGTGTATTTAGTTTGAGTATGTTAATAAGGTAAAGCAAAGTGTGGTTTTGATTGCTGGACTCAAATACATTGGTAGCAGGACATTGATAGTGAGCCTCAGAAGAAGGAAGTGGCCAAAGAAAGAAATACACTTTGAGAGATGGGGCTAGCATTAGGAATACAATATAACAGTTTTAAGCAAGGCAAAAGGAATGGGGGAGAAGGGCAAACCATGCTGGCCAAGATAGAAATGGCCAATGTCCCTTCAATCACAACTTTCAAAAGATATCAAAGTTTCCTGAGCCTTTGCAAAGTTTGGGATTTTTGTTCTATGTTCATAGTCTACCAAAATTATCAGCCTGTTGTTTAAAAGTGTGGAAATAACAGACACCTGGCCTATGGACAATTGCTGAGGAAATTGCAGGATCCATGAGAATCCATGAGAGAATACTGATGATCTCAGGTCATTGTCAGCCCTGAAATTCCAGGATGAAGCATACCCAGAAAGAAAGAAAGAAAGACAGCAATAGAAGTTACATGCTGATCATTTTATTAATGTAGTAAAGCTCCAGTTCTGAACCTACTGTTGCAGTGGAAGAACGATGTGATGGAGCCATCTTCTTACTCCATTTCTGAAACAAGAAAAAAAAAATAATGAAGGCAGGGTACACAGAGGACATAACATATCAATCATAAGCAATTAGAAAATGCTGAAAGGAAACAAAAACAAGAACAAAGAATAGGATGAGATCTCTGTATCCTGTTGAATACATGAATCAGAGGAAGGAGGTAAAGGACCTTAGGAAGAAAATGAGTCATCTTACTAGGAACATATAAGACATGCAATAATTGTGGAAAATGAAATTTGGAGGAGATATTTCTTCAAAGATATATATTCCCTCATGAATACATCATGTAATATTTAATAAAAATATTTGATATTGGGTCCAGGGCAATACTACTGCTGCATATTTAGGGTTGATTACTTTCTACAATCTGAAATATAGATTGAGTTATGTACCCTGTCACCCACCAGGAGGTAAATATGAGTCATACCTGTCAGAGAGTTCTGGTTTAGTGAGGTCCCTAGGGTCTGTCCAATTGGGGACCTTGTTGTGGGTCTTGTTGGTTTCCAGCCTGAGGTGGTCTCTGCTGAGGGCCTCCTTGTTGGGGTGGGCCTTGAGGGGGTCCCTGCTGTGGTCCTCCTTGTGGGGGTGCACCTTGCTGATTCCCATTAGCAGGTGGTCTTTGTTGGAATCCTGAAGGATGTGGCCTTTGACTGAGGATCTGGTTTTGGTTCTGAAGTTCTGAGTGATAAAAGCAAGTAATAGATGAGCTTAGTCATATCTAATTTTGTTCTCTTTTATCTCAATGACCTTTTCACACAATATGGTTTCTAGATAGCAATGTTTTCATAGATTCATGAAAAGCTCCTCTTAAACCATAGTCTTTGGATTACATGTACCTGCTCATTATGCAGTTTCCAGAGTATTCAAGATCAGTTTCCTCAGACTTAAAACAAGTAAATCAGTTCACATATGGAGGTTCTGTTGCCTCTTATATTTTGAGAAAACTGGCTTTTTATGAACCCAGATCGAATCACTGAGTTATATGGTAAAATACAAGCAGCTGTCTCAGAAGACTGCACCTTATGTTGAGGAATATTATCATGGGAAGAAGAGTTTTAAAAGTCACAGACCATACTTTCACCGAATAATTTCATCACAAGTTATAATTAATGGACTCAATACATTTCTTTGAGTGACAAAGAAAAGAGACACTAACACATTTGTGTTCTTTCCCTAGGGAAATCAACTCAAATAAAGGCAACAAGGGTTCAGAAAAAGACATTGAGGAACTCTTGTTTCCATATAGGAAACAAAATCATACTTCATCTAAGCTACATCTCCGAGAAACCACACCAGTGTTGTAGAAAAATTAAATTTCTCCTGTCTTCTGAGAATTCAGACCTCTGGCTTATTGTAATTTGTCACCCTACCTTTTAGTGTTTCTTATTGTCAAATTGGAGAATTTTTGTCTGAAACTTTGTGAAACCTACATTCATTAATTCATAAAACAAAAAATGACAATACAGTGTGGAATCATAAAATACACTCCTTATTAAAGACAGGCAAGGTGATTAAAGATTTATTATTATTTGCTTGATGATATTGGGAAGTATTGTACATAGATGGCTGATGTGAAGCAAAGCAAAGGATAGACTCAAAAGTGAATTCACAGAAGCAACTAGCCTTCTACAAGTTGTAAATGATTTTAGCTACAAGCTGTCATTTCCTGAGGGAATTTGAACCACTAATAGGAAAAAACCTGCTAGTAGTAGTTTGAAGCATCTCTGGTAACTGTTACTCTGAGAATCAACCACCACTTAGTCACAGCATAAAATTTTCTTTTGGTTATCACCATTTTACTTGGAATCTTGCTGCTTACACTGATAGTCATATATTTGTTTATCTATCTATCTATTTTTCTATTGCTATGTAATTTAAAATATTTATTTCTTCCTAATTCAACTCCTATCATCTGCCTTACTGTCTCCTCAAAGAAATGGAATATGAATAAACATTTTAGTAAATGATTAAACAAATAATAATTACACATTGAGATGTTGAATGAATGAAAAAGGAAAAATTGGGAAGATATTATTTTCCTAAATAATAATTTCAGGTTTATTACTTCAGTTGTCATCCTTCAAATTGCTCTGATATGTGTTTTTCTGTCATCTGTCCTTGGTGAACAGGACAGCATGGCTTCTAGCATACATAATCTATTTTAACTACCACAGTGTCTTCAAATCTGAGACTATTCATTTTTAAAAATTAAAACTCTGTGTGTTCTCATTTATCTCTCAACTTCTGTCCTCTGTCCCATCTCTCTCCTCCCCTGCTCTGTTGTCTCCTGTTCTTTAAGAAGAGTCACAGCACCTATACCCTTATTCTCATACCTTCACCTGGTTCGTGAGCAGAGCTCAGGGCCAGCAGGGCCACTGTGAAGAGGATGATCAGCATCTTGGAGGAGGCTCTGGAGTTTCCCCAAGTCTGTGCTGGAAGAAGCAAGTCACTGCCTTTATAAGGAGGAGCAGAAGAATAGCACCTTTGAATTTCATACTGTTATTTCATTCTTAACCAAGCAGGAAATCTTGCATCCTTTACTCCACACTGGGACTTTTGCCCAGCAGGATGAGGTAAGGAAGAGTTGCCAGTGTCTTTTTCTAAATGGTACAACAATAATTGGAGTTCATCTGCAAAAGAATCATGTGTAAGAGAGTAGCCCAGATATTGAAGTTAAGGACTATCATTATATGAATATCTCATTCTATTGGCTGATATTATCTGAGTATCACTGTGCATTTGGGGTAGGTTAGTGTGTATAAACATGTGTTTATATTGCCAGTAGTGATTTATATCCAAATTGAAGATGGTCAATGTCTCTGATCAGGAGTATACCTTAAAAACTATCACTTACATGTGTCATTATATGTACTATAGTTAGTTAAGACTGATGGTGTTGAGGCTATTCATATACAAATTTTATTTATGACAGGACACTTGGAATCCCTAGCATGTTAAGCCTCAATAAGAGTGAACACAATTCTCTTGACCTAACCCAATAACAGCATGTTAGTAAAACATGTGACTTGTTTCATCACGAATATCCCAGCACACCTGGCCTCACAAAATGTATAGCTTTTATATGAGTCAGTATCATGAATTTGTAATTCCTTGATGAGTTGTTTAAACATTTTACATTTCATAGGTCCATAGACAGCTCCATTTTGTAAATTGTTTGACTTAAGTAGCTTAAGGATAGACTTATGGATCTGATCATTCCATCTTTGTGTTCCCCTCAATGGGACAAATATATAGTTATCATTGTTTTTAATGTCAGTAATAGGCTCAAGCCTCAGAATGCTGTTCACCACAGGTTATGTGTAACTTTCTGATGTTACTGCATCTCAGTTTCTCTTTTCTAAGTATATATTCTTTTTATTTTGAGTAGGACTCAGTCCTCTATTTTTGTATTTCATCTTATTCTTGAGCAATTTTCAGAGATCCAAAGAGAAAACTTTAACATTTCTCAACAGATTAAGCATATTCAAAATATGAGCTGGCCAAGCATATGTTTTTCATTTCGGTATTTTTGTCTATTTAAATTTCAAAAATTATTCACCAGATGCTTTCTTTCAAAAAGATTTTCTTGTGTACCTAATATTTCTTATTTAAAGTAAAGCCTGCCTGTATTGTTATGTCTCAGTATTTCTTTCTCATTCTTTTTAATTTTTAGGGGGAATACTTTAGTTCTAACAATTCTCAACTAAGAACATCTGTAAAAAAAAATTGTGTGTTTCTTAGGTTTACTAGAGTTATGTGGCATTTTTGTACTGCTTCCTTAGAGGGAAGTTAGAGGGAGCCACATAACTGATAAACGTAGATTTGTGACCTTTGTGCATTATAAGTCACTAGCTTCTGTGCTATGCCTGTGAATAGTTTTTTCCACCTGATCACAGAGAATCATGTAGAAAGACTCCCTCGTCAATTGACTATGTATACGATATCCTATGTGACTCTTAAACAATGGGCAGTGTCATGAAAACATTTGTGGGGTAATTAGACTTGTACTCTCAGGGAACTTTATTTGTTGTTCTCTAATAACATTTGGTTATGCTAAAAACCAAACTGTTATTCTTGTATTTGTGGAATTTATGAGAAGTAGAGTTTTCTTACACCAAACAGGACTCTCTACTCATCAACACACCATGGGTTGTAACTTCCATAAAAACTACATAGCAAGGGAACCTAAAGATATGTTGTTTTGTCTATGTTGTCACAGAAAAGGACCATAGTCAAGAATCATCAATGCACTAGCTAGTATTGAGTGTTTTCATGCCTGAAAAGTTGGCCTTTTCCTTGACTTGTTGAAAACAGGAACACAACTTTTGATTCTTCTAACTACCCCTTAGCCCAGGACATTTCACTTACCTTCTCAGTATCAACAATGTGTGAAGAGATTAGTAAATCTTTAAAGAAAAAATCATCTGTGACCTCAATAGGTACAACTGAAGCATAAAATATAAAACAGCAGAGGGTGTGTTTAATGCCTTAACCAGAACTGTAGCTTCCTTTACCTTATAATTAATGTTGAACCATGTGACCCTAATGAACAAGTTACACTCTTTAGAATATGCATATGTTAGTATGTATATTCATACATATATTCTTAGATGTATGTTTATCTCTATCACATATTCTAAAATCAAATCAAATATATAAAAAGATGCTATGGATTTAAAATTTATGATTTCTTTATCCTAAATCTACTCTCCTCACTATTCATTCAATATGGATGCAAAGCAAAAGCTTCACATAATGTGGCACAAACAATACAGACTTGCACATGAGCTTTTGTCTGAATGTACAAGAATAGTGTGGTGAGTAAATCAAATTCTTTAGGGACATTTATCTTCATATCTTTGTCTTTGATCATATGAGGTTTGCTTGGTCCATGTTTGGGACTGTGCTATCTAATACCCATTCCTTATATAGATGCAGTCAATTAAGTTTAGCTGGTTATTAATTGCTTCTTCACTTATATTTTAACTAATTGCATGTGTTCTCTGAATGTATATAATGCATCTAATTATGCTCAAATATTACTCTTTCCCATTTTCTTCTCACCTGTCTGAAATCTCCCTCCTCTCTACAAGCCACTTCCTTAGGTTCGTGTCTTTGTGTTATTTTTGTTACCCACTAAGTTTCATCAGAGCTGCCATGTGATTATGCAGAACTATCCACTGGTATCCAGTGAGCTGACCAGGCTATGCACAGCTAAAAGCAATGACTCCCCCTTGCCTAAAATCTGTCAGTATCCGTTGAATGTTTAGTGGTTACTTGCAGAAAATTTTGTCAAAATTGATCCAGTTTAAATGGAAGAGGGAAAGATCCCAATGACCCATCCTTACACAAGTGCCTATTGGCAGTGGATGGCTGCTTGTGTGTGGGGATATAAGTTTTCTTGGGAAGTGTGGCTACTTGCAAGTTTCCTATTGTCCATTGGATGGCCTCACATCCAGTAGAATACAGGCAACATCAAGTGTACTTAGTGGAATATAAAATTATAATAATGTGAGGACATATTGTTTGGAAAGAGACATATTGAGGATCTAGAGATATGACTATAAGGGAATAGTTATGATGATCAAAAATCAAAATATCATAACTATCTCAAATAATAAATAAAAACTCATATATCTGCCCCTAATTTCATTTTATTTATTTTTTATTGGATATTTTATTTACATTTCAGATGTCATCCCGTTTCCCAATTTCCCCCACCTAGAACCCCCTTTACCAACCCCCTCCTTTTTGCTTTTATATCATTTTAATTAGATGCATGTATTAAGGTCAGTTCTAGATATATCCTCTTATTTATTTGACTGCCATTTCCTCTCCAATATATCCCCCTTTCCAGCTTTCTGCCCTCTCCATATATTCCAAGTTAAATGCAGCCAATCATTTTGAAGCAATGAACACCTTAAGAGAACAAAGATAGCCTTTGAATCCCTGGGCTAGGTTTTGTCTCTCAGTATACCTTTTCTCAGTTGTATTTCTCTGTTGCAAATTTCAGGATTCGATTCTTCTTAAGTTCTGAATAGATGTGTATTGTTTGTATGCACAACATTTTCATTAGTCAGTCAGCAGTTAATGCATACTTAGTCTGCTTCCATTTCCCAGCTGTAGTAAGAAGGCAGCAATATACATGGGTGTGTATCTCTATCAGAAAGTGTGAAATCCTAGGGGTTCAATGCATAAAAGTATTTGAAGTGTGTTGTATGATGAGTCACCATTTAGCTTATTGAGGAATCTCCACAGAGATTTCCATTTTCTTTGATTATTCTGGTGACAACTGAGCCTCCAAATACAGCTACTACTGGAGGTATTGAGCTTTAAGAACTTTCTGTGATCACCACTATCAACAAACCAAATTATGTTCCATCATACACTTCAGTCATATTTACCCTAATGATTTTTTTCACTAATTTTCAAACTTAAATATATTATTTCAGGATACTCATTTTTTTCTATCTACATTCTCAAGCAATTATACATGATTCTATTTTCAGTTTGTATGACAGTATAATCACTTGCAAATTAGTAACTCACTGCTTCATCTCTATTTTCTGGAGGGCTGAGTCTTCTCTAAAGCTTTATAACACAATTATTGTCTACCATATACATTACCTTTGCTTTCAGTTGCCAAGGAAAACTTTCAGTAGGAATTAGAACACTCTGGGTTATAGCCTACTAACATTTTTCCTGTTTTCATAATAGCAAATATATTTCATATTTCATTTTCTTTTTTTTCTCAAATCGTAATTAATTCACACAGGGGTTATAAACACAGAAAGGCAGGATGTGGGGAAGGGAATGACACTGGAGTGTGGGTATTCAGGGGGAATACAGATATCTTCAGAACCAGGTATCGGCTAGGTGAAGGTTCAGGGGACAATTCACTATAATTCTGCCTATGACTCGGTTGTCCTTATCTAAGTTGGTATTGTCTGCCAAGGCTACCTATTCACAAGGTCTAGGACTACTCAGGCTAATTAATTTCCACAAAAGCTGCCTGTTGACATTAGCTTATAGACATCTGTTTCAATGTTTTTCCACTGAGACCCAAGACTTGGTGTTAGTATACTTGTATGACAGGCCTATTGCTGGTTTTAGGCATATGGCTGATTTTAGGCCTACAGTGTGTAAGCACGGCTGCCCCTGACATCTCCTCCCTTCTCTAAGTATAGAAGGGCTGTGGCAATTCTAAACTTGCGAAGGCAGAGATAGAGGCCTGACCTCCAGTATTTGAAGGGGACCTTGTAGTGACTCCAGCCCCCCTGTCATTTTCCAGTGAGGCCTGAGTGCCATACCCATCCCGATGTCTTTTTCCTGGAGACAGGATACTTTTGACATCAACCCCAATGTAGTCAGGCTTGTCCCTCAGGGAACCCAGATAGATATTTTTATCTTTTATTTATATTCCCTTGCAGTGCTTAGCCTTGCAGCCTAAGCA